AGATTTTGGTGTTACTGACATCATGAACGTCTCCAGCTATGATGCACATCGCTTTTATTTCAGGCCTCAAAATAATCCGTTCCATGCGTTTGGGTTTTAGAGGGCACTTAGAGGGCACTCACATCGTACGAAGTAGGAGTAGCATAAGATGTACCGCTGTTTGAGGCCCATGCTGCGGGACACCCACTCCCGCATGTCCACACACCCGCATTGTTTTTGACAGGCCCGTAAACTCCGTCATTGGGAGTGCCTTTATACATGACCAAATTGCCATCTTCTTGAAGCAATAAACAACCTGGGGTGCTGGTGTTGGTGTTCCAAAGAAGACTTCCGTTACCGTCGACGAGTCGGAAATCACCCGAAGAGGTATATTGGGCCTTGTAAGGGGGTGTGCCTTTCCCACTGGTTCCCGTACTCCACAATGGCGAAGACCCTTGATAAATCACCATGTTTCCATCGGATTGAACCGCCAGACCATAGGTGCCGGTGCTGTCGTACATGGTGTAGCATTGATTCAACGTGCTTCCCGGTTTGAGGAAATTGCTGCCAAAAGACGAGACCGATGAGCAGTTTCCTTGAACTCCTGCACCCGGGGCGGCAGCAGCGCTGGGACTAGGTGTAGGAGCCGGAGTTGGTGAACCGCCTGAACAGGTAGCAGCGCCATGTGGAGTGGCACATTTGAGACTACCCCAAGTCCCGGTGGAACAATAACAACCAGATTGACAGTCTGCGGTGCTTGAGCAAGGACCCCATGGCCCCACAGTCCCGCTGGCCGACGACGAAGAACTTGATGGGGCCGGCGACCCTCCAGCATAAGCGGGATCACCCGAACATTGGCCTCCTTTGGCACCGGGAGTGCATTTGTATTTTCCATCGGAAGTTGAGTAGACATTGCTGCAACATCCGTTGGCACAATCGGAATTGTATTTGCAAAACTGCCAGTCACCCAAACCACCCGCTGGAGTAGGATTGTAAGTAGGTGTCGGTGCCGGTGCCGGCGATGGCGATGGACTGGGTGTTGGAACATAGATGATTTGAGGTGGGGGGACCGGAGTGACCGGGGCAGGAACATAAACAATTTGTGGAGCGGGAGCCGGAACAGGTGCCGGAACAGGAGCCGGAACAGGTGCCGGAACAGGTGCCGGAACGGGTGCTGGAACAGGTGCCGGAACAGGTGCCGGAATGGGTGCCGGAATGGGTGCCGGAATGGGTGCCGGAACCGGTGGGGGAAAAGGTGCGGGCCCTTGTGCGGGTGGAGCAGGAGCTGGATTGGGAGTCGGCGTAGGTGTCGTTAAAACGGGTGGCGATGAAGTGGTTAGGTTGGATTCATAATACCAAGCCCCCCCTCCAGCGACGAGAAAGAGGGCGCTGACCACTGACAGCAAGACGACAATGATCATAACCACGATGATGGTTTCCGCCATTTATTTATCAGGTCAGTAATAAAAAAAATGCGATGTGATCTGTGTGGTTTGGAGAAATGTCAGGCCTGTCAAGTGGGAATGGGGGATGCCGATAAATACCTTTTCCTGTCCCACATTGACCGCATTGTGCGAAACCTGTGGGGAGCGGAAACGTTTCGGTTTGCTCCAGAGACGCACTTTTTTGTCCGTCGACCCACGTATGATGTGGTGTCCAAACACTATCCCGACATTACGCGACAAGAATACGACGCGTTGTTGAGGCGCCAATGTCACACTTGTCAAAGTTCCTTGGTGTTGCCACTCCGACAAGAAGCCATATGTGTGTGGTGTTTCTACATTCGAGGCGAGATGGAACACGCTGCGTTTCTCAATCAGGTGTTACGTATTTGGCAGCATACCAAAGATGTCTATGTCAAGCAAGAGACGCCCAGGAAGATATGCACGGAAAAGGCGTTGAGAATGTTCTGCTTTTCAAAATGCAAACGATGTTTGCGACAGCGACAACGCTGTGTGGAATGTCAAGATGTGTGTCCCAAGTGCGAGCAGATAAAACTTAAGCCGGAGGAATGGGAACCACACCGCGGAAAATGCCGCGAATGTTGGAATCAGGACCGCCGGTCCAAAAAAAGAAGTATTCCTCGCCCGCGGATCTCTGAAGTGGATGTCAAAGTGTGTCGGAAATGTCAACAAGAGAAGCCTTGTAGCAGTTTCCCTTGGAGAGCCGATTTAGGTGAGTATCGACCGTATTGCAAGCCATGTTATTGGGGCAAGGTCTCTACGACGGTATACGAATCGCTGATAAAGTGAGGATATATAACATGATGGTGGTGAGGTTGCCGGGGCAGAGGGCGAATTCTAGCAGCAAAGCACAGAATAGAACATCCAATGCTTCCGGTAAACCTGTGTACTTGAAGAATACCGCGGCAAGCACAAAAATGAAATACATCAGGTTGATGGTCCAGTATCCCACGGCGAAAATAGGACAGGTCAGGTAGTAAGAGGTGAAGATATGGTCTTTGTCGCAACCCAGCATGGTGTCTACGGCTCCATGCAGCATTTTCGGAAAGGGAGTGGTTTGAGTCGATGTAAGCGCGGTGGAAGACTGAGTGGCAATTTGGTCGCGGATCCCGTAAACGCGAAAATGCATTTGTTGAGCCGCGGTATAGAGGAAGACCACGTCAACATGGTAGGAAGCTCGTTGTAAGGTTTGTAGCAATTTACGGGCTCCCGTGTTGGAGACCGCATAACAATGAAACCCCACGGGACTCTTGGGAATGTACGTTAATGTGCCCGAATAATGCCGTGTGGGAATGGTGGGCAGAAAGCAGGATTGAAGCCAATTCATGGGATGGGTCGCATGAATTCGGTCATCCGGTCCCATCGAACCCACGTAGAGGAAATCCCATTCCGGGTCCAAAAAATTCAATTCGTCCAATGCCGCGGCAAGACGGTCTGGGAAATCAGCGGTCAATTGGCAATCGTCTTCTAGAATGAGGGCGTAGGGGTCACCGCGCTGGACGATGGTTTCCCAGGTTTTCCGGTGGGACAGAAAACACCCAATAACAGACCGCGGGCAGAAGCTGCGACAAAAGAGGGTGGTGTTTTTGGCCAAGTCGCTCTGGGTGAGACGTTGGCCATCCACGGCTTGAATGCGGGTGGCTTGGATATGAAGGCGGTCAAGTTGACGTTGCATAGTCTGCATCCTTTCCGGACAGCGGTCAAGGTTGATGACATAAACCGCATTCATGATTACATTCTACTGGACAGTTTTAAAATGCGGATTCTGGTTCGAGGGTGGTTGGGAATTCCCCATAGTTATGCCCGCGTGAATGAGGAACAGTTAAAATGGTGGAGCCGGTATGCCCAAGTGTATTTTGCCGAGCAACCCGATTATCGGGAGTCTTGGGGCAGGCTGCGGACCGACATGTCAACATTCCTGTCCACATATGGGATTGTGCCCTACCGAGACGATGGTTCTGATGACGAGGTCGATGTCGAATATCGCATTAGCTACCCTTACGACATCCGACCCGGTAACGGCAAGGTGGTGGTCTTCGGAACGTGCGAATTTGCTCAGCTGTCAGACAGTCATTTCATTCATGGTACATTGGCGGATGCAAAACGAGGCCAGGAGTCAGGTTGGTTGCACTTTATTACACCGTCTCATTGGAGTGCCCGCGGATTCCATCAATTGGGATTATCGGTTGCGGTCGTCCCGCACGGGGTGGATTTGGAAACGTTTTGTATTCTGGATCTTCATCGCGAACCGGAGGAGGGTGTGGTGTTTTTAAGTGTTTCCAGTGGGACGACCAACAAGGGGTTATATTACTTGTTGCAAGCGATGATGGAAGTAGTACGACAAAACAAGTCGGCTCGTTTGGTGATCAAAGGTTTGGATGCGTTATATCAATCCAGTCGGTTGATAGAGATGACGGTGTGGAAACTAGTTACGGACCACAAACTGGATTTTGCAGAAGTGCGGGACCGACTGTTACCGCGGGTTACTGTGATGTATGACACTCTGTCGAATGCAGAGTTGAATCAGCTTTACAACCGCTGCGACGTGTATGTGGCCCCTTATTTGGCCGAGGGATTTTGTATGCCGGTCTTGGAAGCCATGGCCACAGGAATGTCGATTATCGTTACGGCCGGAGGGCCCACGGACGATTTTACCCATCCCGAGTTTTGTCAGTATGTCGAGGCGACCGAAGCATCACATGATTCTGGGTCGGTCTTGATTCCATCGGTGACTTCCTTAACGCGGGCCATGCTTAATTGCAATAAAAGACAGCGGCATCCCGCGGCTCGTCACTATGCGGAGGCGTTTTCCTGGGAACACGTTTCGAAAAGATTACTGGACATTATGGCATGACCAGATGATCTTTTCGATGGACGAGCAAGAAATGTGCGAGCGGTGCGGGAGGTCCATGAACTGGGAGAATATGGGATGGGAATGTACGGCGTGTCGAGCCGTGGTGTGTTGTTCGGAACCGGTGATGGACAAACGCCCATGTCATCGACGGGACTGTTTTTGGTGCAAACAGGATGTCTGTTTCTATGCGACTACGGTGGGGATGTATTGTCAATCATGTGCACCTGCAGAATTGCTGGAACGGAATCGACTGGAAGAATCTCGACGGAAGAAGATAGCTGCGGAGCGGGTTTGGCGTGAAAAGATGTTGAAGTTCTTGTTGAAACAGTCAGGACTCACGCTGCGAGCAGACTCCAAGCTATGCCAGCGTTATATTGACACCGGTCATGGTGATCCGGAAGCCATTGTGCACCGTATGTGTGAGATGAAATACTTGTTTGACTATTGCGACATGCGCAAAGTGTTGGATGACGTCGCAACTTCTGGACTTTCGCGCGTCTTTAACAGGGCAGAGCGTCAAGTGCTTGCCAAGACGCCCTATCCCAAAGTGTGGCCATGGACCCTGGACAAGTACGCGAAAAGGATTCAAACCGCTTGCCATAATTGGTTATGGAAACCGGTGTGTGATGATGGTACCTATGGAATTAATCTACGACTCTTGCTGCGGGAGGGTCGGCCTTACCTGAAGCCTGTAAGCCTGTAAGCTAATTCATAATGTCCAGCAATTCATCGGCCTCTTCTTCAGTCAAGGGACGTGATGCGGGGGTGTTCGAGGCGACGACCATTCGTTTATATTCGTCCTGTCGATCCTTGGCGATTTGTTTGTAAGGTTCCTTTTCTTTGTCAGAGAGTTTGTTCCACGCTTGAGCCAATAGACACACCAGTTCTCGGGTAGAGGCGTCTGGGTTTTGTTCCTTCATTTTGGGGCGGGCGACGTTACAGAAGATGATGTATGCGGAGGCAGGTCGTTTGTGTTCCTTTTTGGTGGACTTGCGTTTCCCTTTCGTCGGAGTGGGATCGGGGTTGGGAATTTTCTTAATGGGCATGACTGTCTAATCATTTCAATAGAAAAAGTTGCTGAGAGCGCGTTTTCACCCCTTGTGCGAACGGGCTGTCGCGGCGGGGGGCTTGGGTGACAGAACAGCCTAGCTACCAAAGCCAAAGCTGCGCCACGTCATGCAATCTTGAGAACGCGCACGTTGTATGTAATGGGATTCCCGGTCGCGCCACTTTTGGCTACTTGATGCAAGAGGGTCGGCAAAGTTCCAGCAGACCAAGTCATATTGAGGGTTTCGTTGGTAGCCGCGTGGGCAGAAGTCAGTCGAAATACCGATCCCGCGTAACCTGCCGATGCCGAACCACAGAAAGTGGCAGTAGCTCCGGTGGAGGACCCAGCGGTAACAATGGCAATAAAAGACCCGTAAGACGACACGCCGGCAAAGGTGGAACCGGTGGAGGTGTCATTGTCCAGGATGGTGATGGTGCTCGGGATGTCGATTTGCGAAGTGACTTTCCCACCCAGATTAAGAGCGCCCGCGATTCCCACACCTCCCGCAACGACCAAAGCTCCCGTACCGGTGGAGGTAGACGCAGTCGCGTTGGTGACGTTGATAGCTCCGGCAAAGGTAGCTCCACTGGAATTGAACATGGTCCCGGTGGTCAATGACATGAGACTGGCGCTGGTGCCCAACAGACTGGTTTCAGTCAGATTGACGATAGTCAAATTGGTCGTGGCCAGACCCGGAATGGTGGCTGAGGAGATGAATGCATTGGTGGCCGTCAAACCTCCCTGCACAACCAAATTGGACGTCACTGTTTCATTGGTTACAGTCAAAGTCCCACTGACCACACTGGAGGCATTGGATGTGAAACCTGCCGAAAAGACCGCGGAAGGGGCCGCCAAGGCGGATGTGGTAAAGTTGGAGCAATAGAGGTTGGTAATGGTAGCCCCGGTCGCGAGGAGGTTTCCATTGGTGATGGTAAGGTTTCCACTAATCAAGGAAGCGGCATTGGAGGTAAAACCGGACGAAAACACTCCCGAGGGTGCCGACAGAGCGGCACTGGTGATATTGGTGACGGACAAATTGGTGAAGACCGCGGTGTTGGCGGAAATGGTATTGCCAATGTAAGCATTTTTGACGACAGACAACCCACCCGACACTTGGACTGTCCCGGATCCCGTCGATGTGGCGTCGGCGGTTCCCAACGCGTACACATTTCTGGCCGCGGTAAAGTCTCCCGAGCCGGACACGGTCGGGTCGAATCCGGACAATAGGGACAAATTACCATAGATGAGCGCACCCAGCGTAGACATCGTCATCATTATTTTTGGATCGAAATTAAAATATGAGACGCCTCTACCTGGTTGAATATGACCTGGTCAAGAAGAGGCAGGTGATTGCCAGTGGATCGACTCGAGTTTGGAGCGCCATACCACCCACCAACCATTGCGTCCAAAAGGCGTTGGGAACACATCACCAAGTGCGCGTCAAGACGAGGGTTCTTCGACAACAGCCGGCCTCACCGGAACAACCAAACAGAATGTGGCAAGTGAATTATCAAATACGGGATGCGCGAGGGCAAGATGTGCTGTCGGATGCGACTTTGGCCGTGTGGTCGAGTGAAAAACCCGATGCGGACACGCTACGAGAAGTGTTGCAAACTTCAACCAAGAAACAGATCAAGGTTTTGCAAGCTGTTCCCGAGGGTGAAATATTACGACGACGCACCGCAACCGCCTCGCATCGACCCGGACCGGCCAACCCAAGAAACTGGGAGGATATTGCCCATTTCACTGAGGCATCGGTCCGGCCCTATCGTGGATTAAATGTAAATGTGGAGGAGTACGATTTGGTCATTAACGAGGAAGTGTCCAGCCATCCTGAAATCATTGACTTGCTGGACTATTTGATTCGAAAGCGGCTGTACGGTCTGCAAGCCGGGGACAAGGTCGGCATCAGTATCTTGCACCCGTCGTTGACCCACAAGGGTGGTTTCTTCATTCCCATCACCACGGTCAGGAACTACAACATCCAGGCTGTGCTGAACCATGTGCAAGTCATGTTGCAATCCAATCAAGCCTTTGCGATCAATGCGGCCAATACCCGAATTCGATTTAGCATTGCCCGAGAGGACCGCGGTGCTTGTGAGTCTGGACGCGCTCCGGAGGTGAACATGATGATGAGAAACAAGCAGTGCATTGTGGCTGTGCGAAATGGCCCACAATCCCAGGATTGTTTTTTGGTGGCGGTCCTCCAAGCCCTGAACCCCAAGGACAAGGTGTTGCGACGTTCGCGGCACAAACAAGGCAAGATGGTGATGGAATTCATCCGCGAGTGCGGGTTGAGTCCTGAAGGTCCCTGGGGAACAGAAGAAGACATGTTGAACATTGAAAAGACATTGCAACGTGGGATTGTGGTGGTGTCGTATGAACGTGGTGGAGTAATCCGCGGTCGACCGGGATTTTCGGAATACCTGTACCTATTGCATTCAGGGACCCATTACGACAC